GTAATTACAAACTAGTCAGCATATGTGTGAAAATGGCACAAGCCTCAGCGAATGTTGAAGAGACTTCCAGCATCATCGCAACATTCAATGATCAATTGAAGCTTACCATGCACGTTTGATTTTTTTTCTTTTCCTTCCACACACTAAGGACAAACCTATACCCTTTCCTAGAGCAAGGTACAGTACGGATCCAATTAGTTGACTCTAGTGTTCACCAACTCTATGAAAGGATGTCTGCTCATGAATAGATAAGAGAACTATTCACTGTAGCAAATGACAAGCTTTCCTCCAAAAGTTTGACACGTGTTGTGTACCTTTTGAATTGCATTTAATGCAATGGGTATAAATAGTTGAGTGTTCTCCCCTCAGAACACAGATCAATTAGAATTTGTCTTTCTTATTCTAAGAATCATACCCAAGAAAAAACCTCTCTCTCTACTCTCTTTAAAGAGAAAGAACAACTTCAAGCAAGTGAAGAACACATTTCTAGGTCTTACTTTCTTACAACAATTTTTTTCTATTTGCTAAGTGTATTTGTGTGTACTTCTAGATTGTTTAGATAGGTTTTCTTTACCTTATCTTTTCCGCAAAAAATTTGTAAATTTGTATTAATCCTTCTTTATCAATATATAATTTTAAAAGTGAAAGTTTTGTGTTTGTAGTCATCTCCCCCCCCCCCCTTCTACAAACAAATTACCTATAAACTCTTGTAGATCCAACTGGGACCAACAATTTCATATAACGAAAACCACAATAGTACACATTCGGTCCCAAAAAGATACAACAAGCTACATTACAAAAGTAGCTAACAAATTTATACATAACATTCTAGTACATCGCTTGCTTATATAACAAGTATTTAAGATCAATAGATAACATGCTCTTCTCCATATTCTGATGTAAGCATATTGGGAATCTCACATTTTCTCCTTTCCCTTATCTCTTGATAGTGTCTGACATGTAATGCATATTTTTAAAACACAAAATGAGGGTTAGACCATGAGGTCAAATGAGAAATCCATTTTTATGCAATTACAGGGTGATAATCACCAAAACATGATATGAAATCATATTGGTAATTATAAAAAATATATATAACCTTTCAACATAACATAACTCAATTATCGTATTCAAATACCCAATATCTTGAAACTTCTCCCATATTAAAACTTATTGCATCCCTCTGTATGAGACCACCCAAAGCTCCTCTGGTCCTTAAGGACCAGAGCTCCTCTAGTCTACCAGCTAGAGCAAAGACAAACTTAAACAAGGCCACTTAAGGCTAACTAGAAGCAGGGGCACTTAGAAGCAATATTAACATAAGGCACGATCAACCAGAGCTTCTGGTCATAGACCAAAAGTAAAATGAATCCAGAAGCAAGCCAACCAGAACCCCTCTGGATGACCATACCCTCTGGTCTTACTAACCAGAGCTTCTGGTCTCAAACATTTAAGACCAATTAAAGATGCATGACAACCAGAACACCCTTGGACAACCAGAGCCTCTAGTTTGTCTAACTAGAGCTTATGGAAACTAAAAGTGAGTTATACTTTAAAGAAAATATATTTTAAATACAATCAGAGGCCCTCTGGTTAAACAAGAAGATCAACCAGAGTCTCTATGGTTCTCTACCAAAGATTTGAATACTTTTCCACGGACTTGACGAACAAATAGCAGTAATCCACCCAGAGGCCAAGCCAACCAGAGGCTCCCTGGATGACCAGAGCCTTCCGGTTGAACTATGCTCTAGGCTCTAAGTGTCAATATAAAAACTAAGTTTGAAAATGGTTTAGCTCAAAAGGTTTTAGTCATAAAAATTGTTGGAACTAAGAGCCTGGATACAGAGATTCGAACACAACTTGTATACACAGTTTGGACATATAGCTCGGACACAAAGCTCGGATATATAATTCAACCTCTAAATACAAAGTCTCTGCATAGCACATGTAGAGCCTCTGGGTCAAGATATGCTAAAACATTTGAATCTGATCTTGAAACGCATTACAACCAGAGGCCCTCTAGTTGTACATGAAGACCAACCAGAGTCCCTCTCGTTCCTCATCAACCCACCATTTTATCAAAATAACTTGAAGTAATGCCATCCAGAAAGAGACCAACCCAATAGCATGGTTAATTCAAAAGTACTTTCACTCAAAGCCTTTCTGGTTATAAACATTTTGCTCCTCGTCATAATAACTTCATCATCATATCAATTGGAAGCGACAACTCAAGTCCTCACATCACACAAATGTGATAACTCAAGATCATTGCATCCCAAGGATGTGATAACGAAGCATATGATCAAAACCCAGATTTCACAATTGCCACCCTTATCCCAATATACACCTCTCCTTGATATGCCACCCTTATCCCAAGATACACCTCTCCTTGAAATATCACTCTTATCCCAATATACACCTCTCCTTGATATGCCACATTTATCCCAAGATACACCTCTTCTTGATATGCCACTCTTATCCCAATGTACACACTTTTCCTTAATATGTCACTCTTATTTCCACAAAATATATAATCATAATAAAATCGATCATCTTGCCAATAATGGCATCAAAACAGTTTCATAACATAAACTTATATAAAGAACCTTATGATTCTATACCCAATTTCACCATCAAACTCAAAACAGCTTCAAGAACAGTTTTATCACCTTTCCAAGTATGTATCATACGGTTCAATATTTTCAATACCAAATAAAGAAAATTGATAACATAAACTCACCTTATATTCATGTATACAAAGATGAATTCACAAAGTTGTAATTTCCAAATATAACCACAGAATCAACTTCTTCTTCTTATAGAATCACATAGAATTTCACACAAGAAAACACAGTGAAGTTTTCTTTCTTTTCCTTCTCTCCCAAATCAATAAGATAAGATGAATCTTATCTATTACTTTATGCCACCATAATTAATTCATAGGTGGTGGAGGTTTAATAGTTTTAAAATCATACTTTTACATTCTCCAGTGAGATATAACAAATATCTCATGCATGAAACCTTAAGGCGGTGGAATTATTTAAACAATTAAGCACATAAACAATTTAAATTCATCCACGTATCAATACCTTTCAAAAATCACCCTGAACTTATATAACTGAAAACCTAACCTGGTTATCACAAAATATCTTAGTTAAATGCATTAAATAACCTTTATAGAAATAAAAGAATTTTTAAATATAATCCATATGCAACAAATGACACATGTCTTTTGGGTGATTTTTAAGAAAAATTTATTTAATATATGATTCAAATAAATGACTAATCTAGAATTATTCTCGTATTTTATTATTTCGTTATCATTTTTATATGAATTTTTTTCTCTGTATATAGAAAGAGGAGGGAGAGACAGAGAGATTGCTTATGCTGAAAACTTCACCGGAGAAGAAGGGAATATATGTTGAAAACCCATCAAAGAAGACGTGTCGTCTTTTTTACGTTTAGGGGAGGCCAGAGATGGAGGTCAGTGAAAAAGGAGGGGTATCAACGGTTTTGTCTGTATGTATGTGTTATGTATACAATAGTTTTTTGTTATTTTAATAAATTAAGAAAAGAAAAAAATAAAATAGATGAATAGGCCTTTGACATGGCTATGTTAATCTAGGTGCGCGTTTGTTTTTTAAGAGATGTTGAAGTCTGAAGTCTGCTTTCACTTCTGATTTATAAAAAGTGGTCTTGAAGTTTTAAATTTAAATCAGTCAGAATGTTTGTTTTTACGTCTGAAGTCTTAAAACTAAATCAGTCAGGTTGTGTGTTTTTACATCTGAAATCTGAATCAATATAATACTGTTTGTTTTTGCAAACTGGACAAAAGTCTGAAGTCTAAATCAATTCATTCTAATTAAATTCAATTGAACTAAAATATCCAATCATTTAAACCATTTGTAAACTACCATTTATTTTTTACACATTCAATACTTCAACTGAAATACGTCAATTGATTCCACACACAATATTAAACACGAACAAAGTTTCATAAGAACTAGCATCAATATTCATAAACAAAGTCTCATGGAATGAAGATATGCTCAAACAACCCAGTTTTGCCATCTGATGAGAATGCAGTTTAAGATATCATTCTAGATTTTTCCCTACTGAATTCACTCCGAAGTCCTTGGCTGGGTGTATTTTTGTGTCTGGTCCACTCTTGTATTACATACATACCAACACCAATCAGCCAAAATGTGGTATCATTGAACTCTTTTGCTTTTGGATGGGATCAGTTTTGTTGTATCACAAGTGTTGGTTCAGCTTCATTCCCGCTCACTTGTGAATGAATGATTGCATATTTGCATACTCAACTCTAGTCATGGAAACAGTGGATACAAATATGCAGTAGAGGTAATCGAACAATAAGAAGATGGTTATGGAGAAATTGAGTGAAGGAAAGCATTACCTTCTGCTGAAATCGAGTTTTCAGATTTTGGCGTGTTTGAAATCAAATAGTAGAGTGAAGGAGACGAGCGGCTAGGGTAGAATTTTTCCGGTGTGTTTAAGAGGTATTAAGTGAAAAGATTACCACTTAAACATTTCGGAGGAAACATAGAGGAATAAGCTCTTATTTGAACCAAAAAAAAACGCTCTTAATACCAAAAACGTATGACTGAATATACAGACTTCAGAGCTATTAAGCTCTTAATAGCAAAAAACAAACAGGACCCTAGTATCTTTAGAGATATTGAACACCATAGGACCAAATCTATAATAGATATAACATAGGGACTCTAGCTATAAAAATATTAAACCAAATCCAGAATTAATTCACTCTAATAAGTGTTCGTTTTTGATGTTAAGACCGTAACCATAAATGAATAATGATCCAGATCCATTTCTATCTCGTTTACATTTCAAAATGCATAGAAATATAATATGCTTCGACTTAATTTATATTTTATATATCTAAATCTAAATATTTAAGATAATTAATTACACAAAATAAAAAGTTAAACCAAATTTCATTTAATTTCTATGCACTTCACTCCCAAAATGTAAGTCGTTTACCATTCTTATAGAAAATGCAACGCAGAATAAAGAAAAGGTTAAGGTGTTACTAAAAGAGAGTCGACCACATGAGCAATAAGCTAGCTGTTACAAGTTACTCATTTAATCAACCACTTGCTACAAACTTCACGGCGGCCACGGAAATAATCAATCATAACAGCCTACAAAAGTTTTATGGTCCAATCATCGGAAACCCGAACATTAGGCTTACGGATGGTCAAAACCGACGATCTAATCTTCGACTGAATCTGGAGAGGACCGAGCTCAACTTCAGCAGCATGGTTTGATGGCTCGATCCGTGCACTTTTCGGTTTGGACAAGTGTCCTAGCAATATGATCCTCTCAATGGTGCAGTCGGACAAGAATTGGGTTCCAGCGGCTAAGTTTACGGACGTAAGCGTTCCGTTGGAAAATACGAAACGCCGATGAATATATGCGCCCTTGTTGAACTCATAGCTCTTGCCATCATCGATATAAAGTTCGCCTTCCGCCTCTCCCGAACTATCGACCGCAATCACCTAACCATACGAAAAAGAAATAAAACACCATGTCCAATTTCCGCAATCTAAATCTATAGCATGGAAGATTCCTCAATACGAATGCGTACTTTAGATAATCCCTCTATCCCTCCACAGTGAAAAAGACACGCAGTTTTAAAACTGACTTTCTAATTAAATAGATCAAGTAATGAACTTTTTCCTCCTAGTAATTAAAGGTAGAATTGGAAAGTACACTTGCTTTACCTGAAGTAGAAATGTGGGCACTTATTTTGGGACAGATAGAGTATCTAATAAACAATCGAACACATATATCAAGATTGAAATTTTTATAAAATAGATTACACTTACCAAAGTGTATGGATCGTTCTCCATTTGTACGGTGCTTCTACGGAACCGATCTTTCCTGGGAATTATCGTTCCCGACCTTTGAAAAACCGGGATTGCATCCGCTGCCTCAATCTTTTGGGTTTTGCCTCCTTTATATGCGGTACCACTTCTAAGATCATACCAAGTGTGATCCTTTGGAAGATAAACCGTTACATCTTTTGCATGCTGTTCAAAGATTTTCAGTTAGTTTTGAAAATGAAGATGGGTAGGGGGATATGTGGCATAAGAGACGGAAAAGGACCTCGGTATACACTCCTTGGACTAGAAGGCCATTTCCGACCATGAAAGCCTCATCGTTGTTGAAAGTGGCTTCATCATCGGGAAATTCCATCCACATAGGACGAGTAACCGGGACTCCGCTCACGTTTGCCTCTCTAAATAGCGTGTAGAAATATGGAAGCAATGTGTATCGTACACGTATGGCATCCCTCATCAACTTGGTATTGTGTTCCCTATCATCAACAGAAATATTTGTAACCAATTTGATCATCAAAAATCAAAAGGTGTAGCTTTTCGTGTTCCATTTCCCAGCTTGAAATCATGAAAATAACCTCTTTGACATCTACCCCAAAGAATAGAGTAGAGAGGTGGGGTCTAGAGAGTAGAGTAAAGCGTTTATTTCTGTGAAGGTGCGAATTTAATCTAGTTTTTGTGGAAATAAAGAACAATAGCAATTATATAGTCAAGGCAGTTCATACCCAAATAGCCAAGGTTCTCGTCTTTTCGTATCATGATGGGCATGGCCCCTAAAGAACGGCATATAAGCAGCAACTTGGTACCAACGAACAAGCAACTCGCTGTCGGGATTACCAAAGAACCCACCAACATCGGCACCTATAAATAAAAACAGCCACCCTTAAATATTCCGAAAATAACATCCATTCATGATTGAAAATCAACAAGTTTGCCGGCAAACCAGAGAACGTTATCCCGGTAAGGCCAAGTGTCAAAATCATTGGAACCGAAACCCTAAGCTGCTCCCACGTTGCTGTGTTGTCTCCGGTCCAAACCGTCCCGTACCTCTGCGTCCCAGGAAAAAACGCTCTCGATAAAACAAAAGGCCGATCATTTCCTCCTTCACGTTTCAAAAGTCCATCGGATGTAGCCATATGGAAGTAGTAACCATAGGCGTTATGCAACTCTCGGTGCTCAATATTTCCATAATGTAAAGCATCTCGAGGCATGGTCACCTGGTCAAAAGTAAAAGTCACCGTTACAACCCGTCTCCGTTCTATTCATATATTAAGAATCTGTTCTCCTCAACACCATAAATGGGACCCACAAAATGAAAATGTACAGAGCGCAAGATCAACAACATAGTCAAACCTTTTTAATAAATAACCAACGGTTTCTGGCTAGAAAATCATGAGAAGATACGGATTGTATACCGCTAAATTGTAACATTTTGATTCCCTTATATTTGATTACTCGCATCCAAAACCAAACTGACGCGGTATATTCCACTTGAAAGTAGGGTCTCGGGAACATGTCCTCTACCCCAAAGAGTAGAGCTTTATTTATATCATGGTAAGCTAGCCTCACATCTTCAATTTATAACAACGATAGATTATTTGGAAGCCAGTGTATCCCACTCGAAAGTAAGGTGTAAGACCTGAGGGTGAGATGTATGCAAAAGGATTAAGCAATGAGAAACTACATATGATAACTATAAGTTCAAGCCCTAGAGAACAAACCAAGTATATGATCTTAAACACAAACACCATTTCACATGTAAGCCCTTTTATAGAAATAGAACGAATGAAAAAGTGTACAACGAATTTTATATGATCTTAGTCGGTACATGAAACATAAACTGAAGTGGCATACCTCTGGGCCGTTGAATACGGAAGGCTCGTTCATGTCATTCCAAATATACAAGGATGGAGTTGAACCAACATACTGCGTGTAAGCAAACTTGTCAGCCCACCACGATCTTATATCCGGATTAACCATATCTATATACGAAGAGGATCCAGGCCAACACCATCCATCATAATCCTTACCACTTGCATCCTTCACATAATACCCATTCTTCGAAGCCTCTTTGTGTATATGATAATTTTCATCTCTCTTTATATGTGGATCCACAATAGTAACCATTCTCCTACCCCTTGAAGCCAGATCCTTTTGCATCTCTTCAGGGTTTGGAAAAAGAGCCTTATCCCACGTGAAGTATCTTTTGCCATCCGTGTGCTCAATATCAAGCCATAAAACATCATAAGGAATATCGTATTCGTCAAATTTTGAATCCACATTCTTAACATCCTCTTCATCCCTATAATTCCATCGACATTGATGATACCCAGTTGCAAACAATTGAGGCATTGCCGATGTTCCAGTCACACTAGCATACTGCTTAACAACATCTTTTGGCTTAGGGCCAATGAAGAAGAATGTATCAACGATTCCAGCTTCACTCATCCACAATGTATCAATCCTGTTTTGATCCGAAGGCAACATGATGGAAGATTCAGCATCCCAACCTGATCCGAGGACATCAATCTGCATCTCGGCAGCATTCAACCAGAAAAACCCTGAAGTCCCACGTGTTCTCCCGTGGGAAAGCATAAAGGGTATCGAACCATAAAGCCCAAATGGCGACTCGTGTAGATACTCAAAAACATCTAAATTAAACAACCTATAAGGCTCAGATTCTTCAATCCCAGGTCCCTTGGTGGGTTTCAAAGAAAGACTAGTGGCATGTTCAGGTATACCATAAACAAAATCAGCACCATAGAATGACATATCGAAACTAATCGATTGGGGACCATATGGCCTAGAATCAGTATGACTCCTAAATCTTTCCTCCCAATCATCCCCTTCCTTTTTAACCCTCAATTGTTCAAAATCAAACAACCCATGAGAGTTAAATGATAATACACGCTTACCACTACTTTGTTCTCTAACAAAAACCTCTAATGGATCACTTCTAAGAACAGCTTCATATCCATCAAACAAATAAACAACAAAAGAATCTGCAGAATCCCCATCAATTACCTGTTTAGTATACCTCTGCAACCAAAGCTTCTTGCTTTCAAACTCAGGGAGAATAACATCAGGAACCTCAAACCGTTTTTTAGGTGGATTCCGAGATGCATCTTCATCAATCTTCATCCGCAAAATCCCATTCTCGTAAACAGATAAAGAAAGGATCAGTGGGTTTGATGCGATTCCTGATGAATCCTCATCTGGGTTTTCTTGAAATTCTTTGGGAGTGATAAGTTTCGCAGTGAGATCTCCATCGCCGATGATTACATCGGTGGCAATGAGCTTACAGTGTTGGGGTTTTCTTGATCTGGCTCTTTTGCAGAAAGGGGTTTGATTACAGTTTCTGAATTCTTCTTTTTTCCATGAAGACACAGAGTTCAGATGAGAAACAAGGAGGATGAAACCCAGGAAATAATGGAGAAAAACAACAGATTTCATGGTGCTTCGATCCGTGTTGTGATCATAATAGGGACTTTTTGAAGATTGAAATGTGTAGGTTTTGGGAGCAGACACTCTTAAGACTAGACTATTCGAGTTGGAGTTAGGGATTATATATTTACATTTAGACCCCCCCTAAGTTTCAATTTCTTTCATTTAAACCCAGAACCACAAAATTATGATACTTAGAAGACCAATAAGTGAGCCATACAACTATCAAAATGTTAACATTAAATTCGTACTTTTACAAATTAATTGGTTTCTTAAATATTGTATATACAACTTATGAGAAATGATCAACTGCAAACCACCTTCATTTGTAAAAACCTTATAAACTAATCTCATCCATCAATTTTAATAATCAAGATTAAATGAGTTTATATTAGGAAATAAAAAAAATTAATTTTTAATTAAAAAAAGAGCAAATTTGTCAAATCCATAATATGATTACAGGCTATGTAATCAATAGTTTCCTTTATTCAAAACTCTTTCATCGCTCTCATTTCGTTCAACAGGAGGATATCGCTAATCGATCAAGGATTATACGCTTACCAAAATCGACCTGTGTGGAGTATATTGAAGAAAAATGGCGGGACACAATGGAGGTAACAATCTATATGAACAATACAATGAAATCAACGGCAATTTATAAGTTATGCTTGTTTCCTTGACAGGTAGGAGGTGATTCAGTGATCGAATAAGGGAGATGCATAGTTTTTCTAAATTTACTAACAGTGCAGAGAAACCAGTTGAACTTGATGATGAAAGGGTGGACATTGACTTCATTAATCAATAGATGAAGAAAAGGAGGAAGAAGAATGTAAATCCAGACTCTAGAGGTAAGATTGCATTATATACCTTTTTACTTGGAAACTAGCATAATATGTGATTTGGGACTAGTGAAATTAGATTTTGATGAAACCCTACGTTTATGGTATTCAATCTTTTATTTAAAATGTTTCACTGTTAAAACAGGTTCATATGTATGAAAAACAATAAACATATGTATGAAACCCCTGTTACTGTCATGCATCTTAAGAACTTAGATATTAGGCAATTTGGACTATGTATTGAACTATTGCTTAAAACCCCTAACTGTCAGCTTAAAAACAAGTTCATATGCATGAAACTTCTGTTACTGTCATGCATCTTAAGAACTTAGACATTAGGCAATTTGGACTATGTATTGGACTATTGCTTAAAACCCGTAACAGTCACTGTCATGCATCTTAAGAACTTAGACAGTAGGCAATTTGGACTATGTATTGCATTATATATCTTTTTACTTGGAAACTGGCATAATATATGATTTGAGACTAGTGAAATTAGAATTTGATGAAACCCTACGTTTATGGTATTCAAGCTTGTATTTAAAATGTTTCACTGTTAATACAGGTTCATATGTATGATAAACAGTAAACATATGTATGAAACCCCTGTTACTGTCATGCATCTTTAAAACAAGTTCATATGTATGAAACTTCTGTTACTGTCATGTATCTTAAGAACTTAAACAGTGGGTAATGTGGACTATGTATTGCACTATGTATCTTTTTACTTGGAAACTGGCATAATATATGATTTGGGACTAGTGAAATTAGAATTTGATAAAACCTTACGTTTTGGCAATATATATTATTTGGCATAATATAGGTTCATATGTATGAAACTTCTGTTACTATCATGCATTTTAAAAACTTAAACATTAGGCAATTTGGACTATGTATTGAAACATGTACTGTTGTATTGATAAACCCCCTCATTGTCAGCTTAAACCTTCATTACAACAGTTACTGGCATGCATCTTAAACCACATAAACATGTTGCATACAGTAAACATACGTACTTTCAACATCATTTATCTTAAACCTTAAATACAGCAGTTACTGTCATGCATCTTAAACATAATTAACTTGTTGCATAAAGTAAACACATGTACTTCCAGCATCATTTATCTTAAACCTCACTATCAGTTACTGTCATGCATCTTGAACCGCATGAAACTGTTGCATACAGTAAACACATGAACCTGTTGCTAGAGGAAACATATGTACTGTCATGCATCTAAAACCTCATTAACCTATTTCATAGTTGAGCACCATGAGGTTCTAAACTCTCAGTTACTGTCATGCATCTTAAAAACTTACATATTAGGCAATTTGGACTATGTATTATGGTATCAAAAAGCTGTATGAAACAGGTGTTGACTAATGGTATCATCTAAACTCTCAATTACAACCGACATTAATTTTCATTACTGAAATTGGCTTCACTTGTCTGCCTTAATCCATGGTACTCATAAATAAAACGTAGTATGAAAATCACATGGCATTATGAATACTTAAAATTTATTGAAATTAATAACTGATTGCGGTACGAAAATCACACATATGTGTTGTAAATTCACATACACTAATAGAACGTATACCTTCAGATATTGATGTTGTTCAGGACCTAAAACCTTGGTAAGATAAAGAAAGTGAAGATTACTACAAATAAAACTTCCTCATCGAGCCATGGTAACATAGAACCTGTTTCCCTACATAAACCCCGTGAAAATAGCATAAACCAACACTGCAGAGAAACCAGTTGAATTTGCTGAAGAGGGGGTGGATATTGACTTCAATAATCAAAACACGAAGAAAAGGGGGAAGAAGATTGTTAATCCTTCTGCCAAAGGTAAAATTGCATTATATTTCCTTTTTCTTGAATATTTGGCAATATATATATATATATATATATGATTTTGTACTAGTTAATGGATATTTAGATGTAGATTGGTTCCTCAACTGGTTCCTCAACCAACTACAGCAATAAAGATAATTTGAAACTTATTTCATACCAAACTGCAACCTGTTTCATACAAGTCTGAATATTGTCATCCATTGTTTCATTGAATTTCCTTCCATTGATATATTTGTCATACCCTGTTCATAAAAAACATATTTTTACATACTAATTGGCCAACACTATTATTTTTTTAGGTAAAACTTTGATAAAAAGGGTGAAGGATGCATCAGAAGAATTGACCAAAGAATTAGATGGTATGCATCTAGTATAACAAACTCATGCAGTTTTCGTGGAACCATTCTTTTCAAATTGGTTCATTTGTTCAAAATTCCGTAATGAATTTATTAGTTTTGATTTTTTTTCTTTTACCATAATGTTAATATAAGATATAACCTTTTTATGATTGTTACATGAAACTTAATATGTTTTAACTTCACACACACACTAATAGATCGTATATCTTCAGATAGTGATTTTGTTCAAAACCCAACCCTTGGTATGCTAAAGAAAGTGAAGGTTACAACAGCCCAAAAAAGCCTCATCGAGCCATGGTAAGACGAAACATGTTTCCCCACTTAAACAACTAGTGAGAGTAATAAAAAACCAATAGAGGACCTCAGCAGGCAAAAGGTACAATAAATCTTACACTTTTCAAAATTTTGAAAGTACATATAAATGCTAATTAATATATGCAGGAGTTTTGGATAACCCAACACGTAATGGGTTGCGAGACCATGATAGGATGCATAATGAAGACGATTAAAAAGGAATTAATCATGAGATGGACAAGGGCATTGAAGATGAACCATCATCTGACACAAGTGAAGTTCAATATCGTGTATTACGAACTAGGACATCTCCAAGGACACTGAATGAAACAATGCACACACTTAACGATTCCCAATGGGATGCTGTTAAGAGTATGGGATTAGGGAGTTACTGGACATTAAAATAGACGGGGTCCCATCTCGGTTGGGTTTCTATGTTGTAGAAAATTTAGACACTCCGAATATGAGGCTGAATGTTAGACACGGTTCAATTCCAATTAAAAATATCATCCATTCATGACTTACTAGGCTTGCCGACTTGGGGGATTGATATACTTAGTACTCAACAAAAAAAACTTGAGATAAATCTTAATGACATGTTTAGGAAGCAATTCGTTAAGAAAAAAATGAGACCAAAGGATTTGAGGAAACTTATCCAAGGTATTGGAGATGCATCTGGTGCATTCAAAATTAATTTATTGGTTTTGTTTGTGAACTTGATGGTAGATTGCAATCGGATGGGGTGTTGCAATCTTGGTTTTTTGTCTTCTATTAAGGATGAGAAAATGATACCAGAGATCAACTGGTGCAAATACATATTTGATATGTTGAAAATGAGTAAGGACAAGTGGAGCAGAACCAATGATATATGTTTCTATCCCGAGCCACTAACTTATTTGACCGTAAGTGCATATACTTTTTTCTATTGCATAAACCTTTTGAATTAAAGTCTAAATGGCAGTTGGTCTTATTTTTTACTTAGTTACTATATGTGGAGTCAACTATATGGTCAGACGAAGTAGTTGACCACATAAGGCCAGCTACAAGCGGATGGAGCTTCGAGATGTTAAGAAAACGGGAGGCTTGGAAGATCGTTAATGGAAGATTAGGATTGGTTGAACTGTTGAAAGAGACGAGAGATGGAAAGAGAGGTACTTATATACCTTTAATGCATTACATGAAACATTTGATGATGAGTAAACAAAGGAAAATGAAATGGTATTAAATAGTAACTAAATAGAACGAAATATATATAAAACATGTACATATGAACCATTATATGAAACTTTTTCAATTGGTCAACAAACTTATTATGCATTATATGAATCTATTCCAGTTGATTATTACACATTATATGTATCTGTTTCAATAGATGAATCTGTTTTCAGTACATGAATCTGTTTCAATCTTATGAGAACATACATCTGTTCACTGTTATGAAATAGTTTTACTGTTTGATTTGTATAAACCTATTTCACAAAATTAACATATGAACTATTATACGAACCATTATATGAACATGTTTCACAACATTAACATATGAACCATTATATGAACCAACAGTTACTATCATGCATCTTGAACCACATGAAACTGTTGCATACAGTAAAAACATGAACCTGTTGCTAGAGGAAACATCTGTAATGTCATGCATCTTAAACC